ACATTGAGAACTGAAGGGCCCGTTCCTGTGCTGTTCACTTCTATGTTCTATGTTCCATTTTAACAGGAAAAGACAAGGTAGGTAGAGATAAACTGTTTCCACTGATTGGGGATTCTAGAACTATGGGCATAGACTGACAAATTAGGGCTGGTCAGGAGAGAGGTTGGGAGGCACTTATACACATAAAGGATGGCAGGTGTTTGGAACTCTCTTCCACAAATGGCAGCGGATGCTGGATCAGTTGTTAATTTTAAATCTGAGATAGATAAAGTTTTGTTGAACAATGGTATTGAGAGATGTTGGCCAAAGACAGGTAATGAGTTAGGTACAGGTCAGCCATGATCTCAATGAAAGGTGGAACAGGCTCAAGGCTGAATGGCCTACTCATGTTCCTATGTTCCTATGACTATACTACGATGCGCAAGAAGCCAGAATTGGAACAGCAAGATTTGGAGCAGGAGAAGGTGTCAGAGGAAATGAGGGACAAGATCGTGGAGGGAGTTGAATGCAAGCATGGGAGATTTAAAATCAAAGTGTTGGTTTAAAATCAAAGTGTTGGTGTCACTTTCCCCAGTTCGGTCTGAATCAACATGGTGTTTATAATTAGTGCTTGACACCATACTGACCAGACTACCCCCACCCCGACCCGATCCGACTCTCCCTGATCCACCCAAACCCTCATCCAACTGCCATTCTACTCCTTCTCCGTTCATCCATCACCCTAACCCTTTACCCACCCTTCACCCAATTGACACTCTACCTCTTGCAGAATTACTTTCTCCATTGCTTCTCAGAGAGGCTTTGGCTCCCGCAGTTAATACTGTATAAAGAAACTGGGACTTCTATGAAATTCTCTGCGCAGCTCCCTCCCAGGATTCCTGCACCTGCACCCAGCTCTACTGGATCCTTGACTGGAAGAAAAGAAATTCTAGCTAAGTAAATATGTACCTTTTTTGTTTGTAATGTGTGACAATACGGTGGCTTTAAGAGGTTTTTTTTTTCATTTTTTTGAATGAAGGAAGGTTGAGATCGAGGTAGCGAGCAGTCTGCTCAAAGCCAATAAAATAAACAGCTTCTGAGGCCTAGGGTTTTTTTTTTAAAAAGTTGGAACAATAAAAGCAGCCTGAAGGGGTCAAGTCAAGCTCCCACAGAACCAGGGTTTTTAGCTTTAGCTTTCTCAGTTACTGGGGGCTTGAAGCTGGATGTGGAAGCCCTTATTCCTCTCCCTGTTATGGCTAAAAGCTGTGATTCCCTTCCTGCTGCTAGAATTGCATGTGAGACAATTTATTTTACTCAATTTGCCTTTGCCAAGGGTGTGTTTATGGGATGTTACTATATTGGAACAGTTACTTATTAGTAGTGTGTTATATATTATTTTGTTAAGCATTTCAATAGAGTTGCGGTTCAGCCAATTTTCTTGCATTTTCATCTTGTCTGTATTTTAACTAGTGTAAAACTAAAGTGAAGAAGTGAAGATTTCTGAAGAAGAGTCTAGGCCCGAAACATCAGCCTTCCAGCTCCTCTGATGCTGCTTGGCCTGCTGTGTTCATCCAGCTCTACACCTTGTTATCTCAGATTCTCCAGCATCGGCAGTTCCTACTATCTCTAAAAGTAAAGTGTGTTTTGCATAAAGTCTAGAAGTTTGACCAATCAAATTGCATCTGTAATGCAATGCCTCACACTTACCTTTAAAATAAGAAACAGTTAGGGTCTAGGTTACCTTCTTAATATATTTTGAGAGGTTTTGGTCTGGTCCATAACATCCGGATCTAAATCTGGGAACCAGATTTGGGTTGGAAGATTTGGGCTATTAATTCTTTTGACAGCAGCTTTCTTTAACCTCGATTTCAGTTTGCTCACAGGTATCAGGGATGAATTAAAATTCCCAAAAACAAACAAGAATAAGCCATGCCATCAGATGAACAAGCCTCTCTTGACTGAACACCAAAACTGCCAGTCATAAATTACCTGTGCAGTAAAACTGAAAAGACTGATGAGTGGCATCAATAGCAACAGATACGGGTCCAACTTTCGCAACTGCCTGAGCTAAAGCGATTTCATCACCTTGGTTAACAAAAAAGTAATTGGTGCAGTTGGTAGTTCTGTACTTGACATTATAATTACAGGGATCATCCTATTTTGAAGAGAAAACAGGCAGTAAATATCATGTCATCATCGTTCTGTCAAAGGAACTGCAATTAATTTATGCAGTGAATGCAGTCATTCATAGGGGAAATTAAATGCAGCTAAATTCAAAAGGAAATGTGGTGCTAATTTAAATCTCCCCCCGACCACATTATTCTTCAGTGCAATTTCTCACTCCCCAATAACAACAGGGTCAGTGTAAAGATGGAGTTAAATCCAGGTGTCATGTCATTCTAATTTTGGCGAACAGGTAAAGAGGGGCCATAATGCTGGCAGAAGTCTTGTGGCACAATGGATGGCATTCCCACCTCTTGGCCAGAAGCTCTGGGTTCAAGTCCTCAGGACTTGACGGCTCCAGAAAGTGTGGCACAGTGCAGCCAAACAGGCTGATTATCAATCCACAAATCCTTCCCAAACTGCCTGTGGAAGTGGTAAGACTGAGTGTGTTCTCTGGCCAGCCAGAACCCTGAGGAACTCTGCTACAGCCTCATCACATCACACCATGAACAACTGTCACCCATGTTCTGAAGAACTAACACACACACACACACACACACACACACACACTCTCGTACTCGCATGGACAGGCGCACGCACGCACACTCTCGTACTCGCATGGACAGGCGCACGCACGCACACTCTCGTACTCGCTCGCACGCACACTCTCGTACTTGCACGGACAGGCGCACGCACGCACGCTCTCGTACTCGCTCGCTCGCACGCACACTCTCGTACTCGCACGGACAGGCGCACGCACGCACGCTCTCGTACTCGCACGGACAGGCGCACGCACGCTCTCGTACTCGCGCACGCACAGGCGCACGCACACTCTCGTACTCGCGCACGCACGCACACTCTCGTACTCGCACGGACAGGCGCACGCACGCACACTCTCGTACTCGCACGGACAGGCGCACGCATGGTCGCGCGAGCGTGCACGCACACAGACGCGCGCACACACACTCGCGCATGCACACACAGGCTGTGCAGATATTATTAAAATCTAAGCCTAGATTACATCTTTATTCTTGCAGCCCTTTCCTTTTCTATGCAGTTTATAAGTCGCACCACCCAAATTAATCAAAATATATCTTGTCCATCAAGTTTGATAGGAATTCCTAGAAACTAGGAGGAGGAGGACGAGACTATCGCAGCCCTTCAAGCCTGCTCTACCATTCCATACGATCACGGCCAATCCTCTGTCTCAAAGTTATATTCCAGCTTTCTCTCAATACTCCTTGATGCCTTTAAAATCTAAACATTTAACATTTAATCTTGGGCAGGGAGACCTAAACTGCACACATTACACCAGGTGTAGTCTCGCCAAGGCCCTGTATAACTGTGGAACTGCTTCTGAACTCCACCCAGCCCAGTTGCTCAGGCACACTTTGCTGAGTTGTGTCTCTGGATGGCTTTCCCCAAAGTTAGCTAAAACTCTGCACGCTCCCTCCATCTTCTCACGCAGCTTCAATCAAGGCTAGACCAAAAATAGGAAGCTTAGCTGAACAAAGAGCGATTGATTAAAGCAACTCAAACTCCTCACCTCCCATCAGTACATTAGTCTGGGCTGGATTTAAACTTGTGGTTACAAAAGGGTTAAAGGGCAGAATCTAGGCCATAGCAATACCCAGATCTTTTATGGATTTTGCTGGACCTACAAAGAACTTACTCAAATGTAGACAGAATAAATGGAATCAGTAATAGACAATCATTGCAAGAAAGTTCTGATTAATCTAGCGGAGTAAAACAAAATGATTGACTCACTTGGCCTGTGTATGGGTACCCAGCCTCGGAATCAATCCCATTGTTTTCATGTACATACAAGAAGGCATTTTCCATCCATCCACCACCACATCCATGATTCCCCTGCATTCGTGAGCAATCCACCAGGTTCTGCTCACTCAATGGGATGAGTTTTCCCGTCTTTTTAAAGGTCTGTCCCTCCAACGCTCCCGTTGAGCTAAAAGCCCAGCATGAGCCGCAGCTACCCTGAGAACACACACAACTTCAGAACTTTGCAAAAGGAGAAACTTTCCATTTTATTACAGAATCCAAACAGTTTAAATATCACTTGACAGACGCTGTTTCAAAGCCTTCCCATTAGGTTTGCAACCAATCAGGTTCAACCAGAAAATGGGCCATTTTACAGGAGGATAACATCGCGGATACACAATCAATGGGTTTCTTGTTCCTCATAATCTAAACTCTCCCATTAAACAAAAGCCAGAGTCATAGAATCAGAGTCATACAGCACAGAAACAGACTCTTCGGTCCAAGCTGTTCATGTTAACTATGTTCCCAAATTAAACAAGTCCCACCTGCCTGCACTTGGCCCCATATCCCGCCAAACATTTCTTACTCATGACCTTATCTAAATGTCTTTTAAACATTGTAACTGTACCCACATCCATCATTTCTTCTGGAAGTTCCTTGAATCACTGTGTAAAAAACACTGCCCCTCAGGTCCTTTTTAAATCTTTCTACTCTCACCTTAAAAATATGCCCCCTAGTCTTTAACTTCCCCATCCTAGGGAAAAGACACCTGCCAGTTAACTTATCTACACCTACACCCCTCATGATTTTATAAACCTCAATAAGATCACCTCTCAACTTCCCATGCCTCCAATAAAAATAGTCCCAGCCTATCCAGCTTCTCCTTATAACTCAAAGCCTCCATTCCCAGCAACAAGCTGGTAAGTCTTTACTGAACCTTCTCTGGCTTAATAATATCCTTGCTATAACAGGGTGACCGGAACTCTGAAGGGATTTAATAAGGTTTGCCCTCACTGTCGCAATGATCTTGCCCCAGATTTTCAGTGCGTTGGCTGAAGCAGGAGGTCTATAAAATGGTCAGATCTATAAAAGCAGATCAGAGGCTAGGACTATTGTAGCAAGTAATCCAGTTCCTGCCTCCCAAAAGCCTGTCCACCATTTACAAGGCGCAAGTCAGGATTGTGATGGAATACTCTCTACTTGTCTAGACTGGCACAACTCCAACAACGTTCAAGAAGCTTGGCATGACCCAGGATAAAACAGCCTATTTGTGGCCACCCCATCCAGCACCTTCTACATTCACTCCCTTCACCATCGCCACACCGTGGCAGCAGAATGTACCATCTACAAGGTACACTGTAGCAGCTACCACGTCTCCCTTAACAGCACCTTCAAACCCATAATCTCTAAGGCTTGGAAGGATAAAGGCAGCAGATATATAGGAACACCACCACTCAACATCCTGACTTGAAAACTGAAATAACCGCACAGAGGCAGGTATCCCATCACCCAAGTCACCTCTTATTTACTAGTGCAAAGTACACTGGCTTCAGTCCCCTGAATTGAGGAGATTCTAAATCTCCTGTTAATATCGGTCAGCCAGGGTTTCCTCTTTGGCCCAGGTTAACAACCCCAATCAAGGACCTTGTAGTCAGTGAGATCTACCTAGTTCCAATCAATACAGGGGATAACAATCGTTTACAAGGCTGAAGTCTGAGTTTGGAATAAAATATGCTTGAGTGATAACTCTATTATATTGTTACAAGTTTATTATTTTCACATCCATTTCAAGAACCTCCCTACCACACCACCCCGATTGTTGCTATGTTCCTGAGAATTGTACCTGGTGGAACAGTAGACCTGATCCAACTCCCTGTAGAACTGTGGAGGAGAGGACACCTATAACATACACGGAATGTTTCGCTACTCTACTTCCCATCTCTTTCATGAAAATTAGGCCATAAATGTGGAATCTTGGCAGCAAAACCCAACAAGTTTATGTGCTGATTTATTCATCTAACACTCAAATCTCTGTCAATCTACACACAGGCCCTTCCTTTTATCAACTGCATCATTCTCCTAATTATATTGAATTTGATGTTCCATATGCATAATGAGATTTGAACCAAACAAGTCCCAAAGGTCGTGATTAAGGGATTCTTTATTCTAAGGGCATCAGGTCATTACAAATATCGAGGAAAATGAAGGTTATACAAGGAAGTATTTACAGAATGTACAGGGAATGAAGCCTGTGGTTTACATCGGGTTAAGGAATCCCTTATCTGTCTGCACTTTCTCCCCTCAAGGCCCTGTTTCCCCAAAGACATCCTTTTTATCCCAGACAGGGTCAGTTTTGACTGCCCTAGTTGCACTATCTCACCATCATCAGCTGCTGGTGGAGGTCTCAGCACAACTGCTCGAGCTCCCCTGCTCGGCACTCACCCTCACCATCACTACCAACTGGTGTAGGTTCTAGTGCAAGTGGAATGTCAGCATTAAAACTAAAGATGGGGCTTGCATTACTTCCCTGAGCAGGACACCACATTCATAGATGACTCTGTCAGATATATGACGCAGAAATAGCCCAAACTAGTCCAAGCCGATATTTATGTTGGAGTCAAATCTCCTCCCATCTCTTCTGTAAATTTACCATTGCAACATCTTATTCCCTTTACCTTTATAATTTTGTCCACTTTGCCTTAAATAAAGCCACTCTATTCACATATTTTGGATTGTAACCCCGGTAGACCTTATTAAACACCACCAGACTGAAGTCACTAAAAAAAATGAAGATCAGGAATGTGTAAAACAGACTGATGATTCGCTCTGGCTGATTTTCAGCTGTTGACTGAATGGTAATTTCACCCTCAGAAGCTGAAACCAAATCATCTGTCCAGCCACACTTCTGCCTATCATTGATAAGGAATCTGTCCTCAAATTTATTCTTGAGATGAAATTCATTTGTACCTGGTTCTTCACTGGAGTGACATATCCCTCATCGCGCCAGTCCACACTCTTTGGAATTTCAGCCAGTTCAGGGATCCTTGCAAGTGGCCGGGATGAGTTCCTGGATTTGAAGAGACGGAATCCATTCATCTGCTCATTGAACTCCTCCAAGGTCTGAAATGTGACAAGATCCCAATAAAGGGGTCAGCGTCAGGAACCAGAGTAAGAGTTCCCAAAATGTCCTAAGGAAAACTTTCCCCCTCCAGCATTTATCCAGCTTCCTTTGTGAAAATTGGCTTCCACCGTGAAAATTGGCTTCCACCACTCATCTCAGGAATCATATCCCAAGTTGTAACTCAGTAAGTGAAAACATTTCTCTGCGTCTTGTTACCTTAAATCTATGACCCTTAGTTTTGGCCCTCCCTGTTACTTGAAACAGTTTTTCGATATTCACTCTTGACAAGCACCTCTTCAAAATAACTTCTACTCCAAGGAGAACAACTCCAGCTTCCCTCCACGTAACTCGCTGCCCACATCCCTGGTACCAATCTAGTCAATTTCTTCTGCACCCTCTCCAAGATCTTGAAAAGGGTTCAGTCTTCTATTCTAAAAGTGCAGGCAGTTCTACAAAGGCAGGCAAGTTATCAAAAGGTAAGTCCTTTCTCCTCTTTAGCTGCTCAGCTTCCCACAACCTAGACCAGGGTTAAATATGGAAACTAGATTAAATGAGAGTCATGTACCATCATTATAATATTTATATATGTTACATATTAAATATATATATTGAGTTATACAGCATGGAAACAGACTGTTCGGTCTAACCAATTCATGCCAAACATGATCCCAAACTAAACTACTCTCACCTGCCTGCTCCTGGCCCATATCCCTCCAAACCTTTCCTATTCATGTATCCATCTAAATGTTGTAATTGTACCCACATCCACCACTTCATCGGGAAGTTCATTCCACGCATGAGACACACGATATATATAAAAAATATCTGCCTCATGTCTTTTCTTAAATCTCTCTCCGCTCACCTTAAAAATGTGCCCCTTAGTCTTGAAATTGCCCATCCTAGGCAAATGACAACCACCATCAACTCTATCTATACCTCTCATTATTTTATAAACTTCTATCAGGTCACATCTCAACCTCCTAGCCTATCCAGCCTTTCTTTGTAACTCAAACCTTCCATACCCAGCAACATCCTGGTAACTCTCTTATGAACCCTGTCCAGCTTAATAATATCCTTCCCATAACTGAGTGACCAGAATTGCACACAGTATTCCAGAACAGGCCTCACCAATGTCCTGTACAACCTCAACATGACTTCCCAACTCCTATACTCAAAGGACTGAGCAATAAGGCAAGCTTGCCAAACGCCTTTTTAACCACCCTGTCTATGCGTGGTGCAAACGTTGAAGAATTATGTACCTGCACCCCTAGGTCCCTCTGTTCTACAACACTACCCAGAGCCCTACCATTAATTGTATAAGCCCTACCCTTGTTTGTTGTACCAATTTATTCAGATTGAACTCCATCTGCCAGTTTTCAGCCCATTGACCCATTTGATCAAGATCCCTCTTTAGTCTCAGAAAACCGCCTTCACTGTCTACGGTGCCACCAATTTTGGTGTTGTCCACAAACTTACTAACCATGCCTTCTATATTATCATCCAAGTCATTTGTATAAATAACAAAAGAGGACCCAGAACTGATCCCTGTGGAACACCGCTGGTCACAGGCCTCCAGCCTGAAAAACAACCCTCCACCATTACTCTGTCTTCTGCCATTAAGCCAATTATGTATCCAATTGGCAAACTCACCCTGAAACCCATGTGACCTAACTTTATCAATTAGTCTACCATGCGGAACCATGTCAAAGACTTTACTAAAATCCAAATAAATGTCTACTGCACCACTCTCATCAATCTTTTTGGTAACTTCCTAAAAAATCTTGTGAGACATGACTTTCCTCGCACAAAACCATGCTGACTATCCCTAATCAATTTCTGTCTCTCTAAATGTCCATAAATCCTATCCTTTATAATCAAATCCAACAATATACCCACAACCGAAGTCACACTCACAGGTCTATAGTTCCCCAGCTTCTCCTTACAAACTTTCTTTAACAAAGGTATAACATTAACCACCCTCCAGTCATCAGGCACCTCACCTATAGGTATAGATGATGCAAATATTTCTGCAAAGCGTCTCACAATTTCCTTCCTTACTTCCCACAACATTCTGGGATCCATTAGATCAGGTTCTGGAGATTTATTCACCTTTATATTCTCAAAGACCTCCTGAACATCCCCTTCTGTAATGTGAGCTGTTTTTAAAACGTCAAAGTTTATTTCTCTGCACTCTCTAGACTCCATTCCTTTCTCCACAGTAAAAATTGATGCAAAATATTCATTTAGTATCTCTCCCATCTCCTGGGATTCAACACTAAGACAACCCCTTTGATCTTTAAGAGGCCCTACCCTCTCTCTAGTTACCCTCTTATTCTTAATGTATTTATAGAATCTCTTTGGATTATCCTTAACCTTATCTGCCAATGCTATCTCATATCCCCTTTCTGCCTTCCTGATTTCTCTCAAGAATGCCTCTACACTCTTTATATTGATGTTATGTATGCATATGTAACATATATATGGGGTCAGGTTAGCTCAGTTGGCTGGATGGTTGGTTTGAGCTGCAGAATGATGCCAACAGCACGGGGTCAGTTCCCACACTGACTGAGATTACCATGAAGGACTCACTTTCTCGGCCTCTCCCCTCACCTCAGGCATGATGACCCTCAGTTTAAACACCACCAGCCATCTCTCTCTAATGAGAGAGCGGCCTTATGGTCTGGTATGACGATGGTGACTTGGCCTTTTTATGCATTAGAAGTATCAGAACATTTAAAGGGCACACTCATCTCCTGGGAGTGAGCTGTTTGCTCAGCCTCCCCCATTCCATTTCTGGATGCTCCAGTTTCCTGTCACAGCCAAAAGATGTGCAGGTTGGGTGGATGGCCCATTCTAAAGTGTCCACAGAGTGCAGGTTAGGTGCATTAGCCATGGGAAATGCAGGAAGTGTGGGTCTGGGTGGGATGCCCTTCAGAGGGTTGGTGTGGACTTAATGGGCTGAATGGCCTGCTTCCACACTGTCGGGATTCTATCTGTTCAGACTCCTTCCAATAATAATACGTCCTGACTTACCATGTCTCCAAACTGGTTCATCTTAAGATTAAAGCTGTGTTTACCCAGCGAGTACTCCAAGTTGTGATTTTCCACAAATCTAAAGTTTTTCTCCCACACCATTCTCCGAACACCTTCTTCATTCTGAGGAAAAGGTAGAAAATCAATGACATGAGACACTTTGGAAACAGAGTGGGCTCTTGCCTCAAGGTAAGTTTATCAATTTAGATATTAAGGTCAGTGAGTCACTTCTGCAGGGAATCTCAGCAAAAACTATTACACCACATCTCTGAAACAGTCACAGTCATACAGTACAGAAGAGACCATTCGGCCCATGAGTTTGCACCAACAATAAAAAGAAAATCACCTATCCACCTATTCCACTTTCCCGCACTAGCCCCACAGCCTTGTATGTTATGACGTTTCAAATGCTTGTCTAAGCACTTTTTAATGTTTTTGAGGTTTCCCATCCAAACTGTGCTCCCAGACATGACACTGCATACCCACCACCCTCTGGATGGAAGAGATTTTCCTCAAATCCCCTCTAAACTTCATGGTCTTAACATTGACATTATGCCCCCTTGTTACTGACCCTTCAACTGGAGGGAACAGTTGCTTTTTGTCTACTCTATCCATGCCCCTCACAATCTTATACATCTCTATCAGGTCCCCTCTCGGCCTTCTCTGCTCCAAAGCAAACAACCTGAGCTTATCCAGTCTCTCTTCATTGCTAAACTGCTCCATCCAGGCAACATCCTGGTGGATTTCAACTGCACACCTCCAATACAATCACACCCTTCCCATCGTGTGGTGACCAGAATTTTGGAACTTGGCACATAGGAAGATGGTCGTGGTTGTTGGAGGTCAGTCATCTCAGCAGGAGTAGGCCCAGCCATCATCAGCTGCTTCATCAATGACCTTCCCTCCACAATAAGGTCAGAAGTGGAGATGTTCACCAATGATTGCACAAACACCATTCGCAACTCCTCAGTACTGAAGCAATCCACATTCAAATGCAGCAAGGCCCGAACAATATCCAGGCTTGGGTTGACAAGTGGCAAGTAACATTTGTGCCATTCAAATGCCAGGCTATGACCATCACCAATGAAAGACAATCTAACCACTGCCCCTTGACATTCAATGGTGTTACCATTACTGAATCTTCCATTATCAACATCCTTGAAGTCACCATTGACTGAAAACTCAACAGAACTCACCATATAAACACAGTGGCTACAGCAGAAGGTCAGAGGCTAAGAATGATGGGAAGTGATGGCCAAGTGCTATTATTGCTAGACTGTTAATCCACAAACTCAGCTAATGTTCCGGCGACCCAGCAGATGCTGGAATCTGGATTCACTTAAAAAATCTGGAATTAAGAATTTACTAATGTTCTTCAGGGACGAAAATCTGCCATTCTCACCTGGTCTGGTCTACATGTTACTGGGAGACTGGAGTCACATGGTTGATTCTCAACTGCCCTCTGCAATGGCGTAGCAAGCCAGTAAATAATATCACACCACCACCTTCTCAAGGCAACTAGGAACAGGCAATAAATGCTGGTCAGCCAGCAATGCCCATGTCCCACAAGTGAAGTTAAAAAAAAAAAAAAAAAAAACTGGACACCATACTCCAGCTCTGGCCTAATCAAATTTTAGACAGCTCCAATATGACCTCCCTGCTCTTAGACGACTGATAAAGCAGGTGTCCTGTACACCTTCTTAGCTGCTTTATTAACCTGTCCTTCTGCCATCAGGGACCTGTGGACAAACACCTACAATCCCGCTGTTCCTGACATCATAGTGTCCTGCCAGTCACTGAGTACTCCCTTGTCTTAATTCTTCCAAAGTGCATCGCCTCACACTTTTACAGAGTTAAATTCCATTTGCAGCTGAAACGCCCAAAGCTTGTTCACAGGGTTCACTGAAACAAAGCAAGTCCACTTTAAATCTTGCTGCTCCTAGATCAAGGAATGGCAACTGTACAGTTCTCAGCATGTACAACACTCAGAAACGGCTAACAAAGACTTCTTTACCCTCAGGTTACACAGATTGAAACGTTCACCAATACAAATTCCATGAACTTGCACAATGCTTCGAACATCAAGGTTCCTGATTATTGTGGATCCAGCATCAGAAGCTGCGATCTGCAACGGTTATTCCATGCAACATCCTTAATTAACCCGCTCAGATATGATACGCATCCAAAGTAGGTAAGACTTGAACCCAGGCCTCCTAGCCCAGAGGTATCACAGAACCACAAGTGCCTTCTCCACGCTGATATAAGCTGATGCTCCCTATTACAGCTCCCCTCGTCTTCCTGATCACGACCAATTTCCTGCTGGAACACTTTGCGCCTGCAGACGCTGGATGAAGATAGGGTGAGGTGTGACTGTGACAACTTGCTAACAGGCCGATAAAAGGCTCACAAATAGACGCCAAGCTACCAGAGAACAGCCGCATCTGCAGAACCACTCCCAAGCCAAAGTCCATGTCAGCAATTGTGAGGGAAAGGTAACGTTGATCTATCACTGTTACTTTCATTTCTTTACATTTGCTTCCAGGCTGTGAATAATACAGGCCAGACAATAGTCACTGTATATCCCTCATTGCCCTGTGAGTAAGAGGAACTAGTCACGTATCCTGTGATCACCATGTCAGAACATCGTAATACCACGGCTGTTTTTAACTCTTAATTCCAAATTGACTATTTCTTTCGAGAGGACTGCTACAGACTCAAAATAACCGCAGCTCCAAAAAGAAGAGGCTGGCTACCAGAAATTCTGGGCAGAATTTGAGAGGGGTCTGAATGATGAGGGCTCAGGTGAGATTTGTAGCAGAGTCAGGCGAGAGGTCTGGCTGGGCCAATGTCACGGTCAGGAGCAAATCTCTGCACTTTTCACAAGCAGTGAGCTGGGTTCCTCGCAAGGCAGCAGTGAGTTACCATTCAAGGTGGATTGTTGCTTGTTAAGACCAAAAGAAATAGGAGGGAGAGTAGCCCATTCAGCCCCTCAAACCTGCTCCACCATTCAATAAGATCATGGCTGATCCAACATTCCTCACATCTGCTTTCCAGCATTTTCCCTACAAGTCTTGATTCCACTAAACATTTTGTTGATGCCCAATGATACTCAGCTTTATATTTTAACAAACTCACCAAATAAGCTGGATGCCAGGAAACTGGCACCAAACAACTCAGGATACATGATGGGCCCCAGACACACAGACAGAGTCATGGAAACAGACCCTTCGGTCCATCCATGCCACGCCAACCATAATTCCAAAGTAAACTAGTCCCACCTGCCTATGCTTGGACCATATCCATCCAAACATTTCTTATTCACGTACTTATCCAAAAATTGCCCTGCATGTTTTTTATTTTAAATCTTTCTCCTCTCACCTTAAAAATATGTCCCCTAGTCTTTAAATTCCACATCCTAGGGAAAATACACTTGTCATTCACCTTATCTATACCCCTCCTGATTTTATAAATGTCCACAAAGTCACCCCTCAACCTTCTATGCTCCAATGAGAAAAGTCCCAGCCTATCCAACCTCTTCTTATAACTTAAACCCTCCATTCCTGGCAACATCCTGGTAAATCTCTTCTGAACCCTCTCCAGCTTAACAATACCCTTCCTATAACAGGGAGACCAGAACTGGACACAGTACTCTAGAAGAGGCCTCACCAACGTCCTGTACAACCTCAACACAACGTGTCTGTGGACACTGGCATCCCACGTGTGCCAGGCTCTATGAACCTCATGGCACATTCCCAATCTGCATAGAGGACCTTTCTGCACCTCAAACTGCCCCAGTAACTCTCACGGTAATGCTGCAGCAAGGAGTCTGTGCTCAGGAACACATACCCAGCTCCAGGACTGGACTAGGCTGTATCGCTGGACTCTTCACTCACTGTCATAGCACTCACTCACTCAGAGTCTGCCTGTATAGTCACAATGTCCGTGCCTGACCTCGCCTTTTTGTGCTTTGCCCCTTCAGCCAGAGATACCAGGCTCACATTACACCATTGGACCTTGCCATTTGGACACACGGAGGGAGTAAGTGTGTCCTGCACAACATCATGGGGAATAGCCCGGGTGGGGTGGGGAGCTAGTCACGGCCAGTTTCTGACACCGGTCCAGGGGCTGAGAAACACTCAGTCAGCTGCTGAGGATGATCAGAGTCAAGGTGCTACCCCAAAAAAAAAGGGCTGAATGTCAGGCAGCCCAGCACCCACCTTCAGTCACTCTGCCTTAGCAAGGGCTTGTTCTTCCTGCAGTGAGAGACAGGCAGGTATTCAGGGCAATAAAAGTGGATGGCAGATGGGGAAGTGTTCCAAGTGAATGAGGAAGCAGTGCAGAGAGCTGACAGAGTGAGCAGTGTCAAGGGTTGGAGCGGGTGAGAGTGGCCGGGGAAGATGTTGTGGGCCGTAGCGAGAGAGAGGTACAGCGTGAGCCTTGGTGGGAGGTGGGCACACTAACGGAGAGTGAGTGTGACACAAAGTCGTAGAGATGTACAGCTCAGAAATAGACACTTCAGTCCAATTCGTCCATGCCAACCAGAATATAGGAAGTTAGGTAGGAATTTAAAAAGTAGGTCCTTGAGGGTAGTAATATCTGGATTACTCCCTGGTGCCATGAGCTAGCGAGGGTAGGAATAGGAGGATAGAGCTGATGAATACGTGGCTGAGGAGCTGGTGCAGGGGAGAAGGATTCACATTTTTGTATCATTGGAATGTCTTCTGGGATAGAAGTGACCTGTATAAGAAGGACAGGTTGCACCTGAACTGGAAGGGGACTAATATACTGGCAGGGAAATTTGCTAGAGCTGCTCAGGAGGATTCAAATTAAGTGGGAGGTGGGACCCAGGGAGATGGTGAGGAAAGAGATCAGTCTGAGACTGATACAGTTGTGAAAAGGACTAAGTCAAACAGACAGGGCAGGGAGGAACAACGCAGAGAATGAGGTAGGACTGATAAATTCAACTGCATTATTTCAATGCAAGAGGCCTAACAGGTAAGGCAGATGGTTGAGAACACGGGACTGGGATACCAAAGCAATTACAGAGATGTGGCTCAGGGAGGGACAGGACTGGCAGCTTAATGTTCCAGGGTACAGATGCTATAGGAAGGATAGAAGGGGGA